TTATTAGTTTGTGCCTATACCTAATGGTCAAAGCTGTTCAATAGTTACGAATTAACGTAACGAAAAACGTAGGTAGATTTAAATAATACTAGTTTTTACGGCTTTTATCGCGTATATTTAACTTTTTAAAATACCCGACGTTTCGAGCACTTTGCAGCACGAAACTTCGGGTATTTTAAAAAATTAAATATACGCGATAAAATCCGTAAAACTAGTATTATTTAAATGTGTAGTGTTCACGTAAACATAAGAAATCATAACGTATGTAGATTATCGCAGCGTCAATTTTTGCTTTATATGAGGTAAAAAGCTTGTGTCTAAGACATAAGTATTCAATGATACATTTATTTATTGTATGAAATTATATTAAAATGATACATAAATAGAATGGTAATGGTAAGTCTGGTTATAGAATTTTAATCCATATATTTTGTCACACTATCCTATTGCCCCTATTACACCACCCTGAATTAGGGCCCTGAATGAAGGGTGGGCGTGGCCCCTAATTAGGGACGTCAGTTATTACACTACCCTGATTTTACGCTCTTGCTCAGTCATAGGGATGGACAAGTAAAAAAGTATATATATTTATTGAATCGATTTCTTTAAAGTAATTGTAACAAATCATTTACTGTGTTTCGTCCTGCTAACTCTAGTTGCGTAACTCGAGTTTAGTTCGAGTTATGTGAATTTCAACCCGAGTTAATTCGAGTCGTTATTTTTCCAAGTAAGCACATCTATAGGATGCAGCATCGTTCATTAAAAACATCGTATATATAGCTTATGTACGATATATCGATTTTTTCGATGTTTTTTATAACCTTTTAAATATAATACATACATATATATTGAATAAATAATCGTTTTGAACAGAAGTGGAAGAAAGAAGTATAATAATCAAACATTATATTTATATTATTTAAGGAAGTTTTATTTTTACACATTTAATTTTATCGAATAATTATCAGAAAACAAGAGTTAATTAAATATTTTTTTACTTTTACGTTTATTTCTTTCGAATTGAATTTTAAAATAACAATTTTGACAACCTAGTGCCTAGTAAGTAGTTTCTCTCCTAAAGTTAAAGCTCAAACAATATAATTACCAATAAGAAAATGAATAAAACAATTTCAATCCATTTTCAATATATGTAAATTTATCTTAATTAATTATCACAACAAAATAACTAGAATATTAGATCAAAAATGGAATTACCGATTGACGACAATTGCACTTCTGAAGTTCAAGTATATTTATTTTTGGCTGAAAGACCATTTTCCTGTTTGTTGATTCGTGATTAAAATTTTCGGGATCGAGTTATTTCTGCCAAATACTCGTAAATCTTCTAACTTTAAAAATTTAGACGTTATCTAGCTTCGACATATTTTGTTTTAGTATTTATTTTTTGGCAACATAAAATTCGTGATAATCATCGTTCGAAACTTTTAACACATGGAATTTTATACCTTCTAATAGTTATTTCGTAACCCTTGACGGCAAGCCAAAACTTTGTTCATAAAACATCGCTCATGAAGAACCATGTTTATGAACGATATATCGATGTTTGAAAAGATTGATGTATAGTTTGCGTCTCTAGTCGCGCATCGAATAAGTGCCCTAACTCCCTTAGTGTTATTACACTGCACGTTGGAAGGGTACTTCAGATCAGGTCCACTTTGCCGCCCTAATTAGGGACCCTTACTCCCTTTGTATTATTACTCCACCCTGAATCAGGTCGTAGGGACCCGATTCAGGGTAGTGTAATAGGGGCATATTTCTATTATAAGTTCCGTGGACGCCCACTTTTGCTCTCAGCGCCAAAATGGCGAAAATCAAATAGCCTCATTATGTCAGTGTATAGCCAGTACAGCGTTTTCGTATAAGGCCGGCCACATACATACGGAATTCCGTTTCAGATTTCCAAACGGGTTGGCTACACACATACGAAATTCCATATTGCCCGCAAAATTTCAAACGGAAAACTACTGTAGTTGTGTGACGGGTCCTTTATTTTATATGGACTTGCTGCGTTCAGAAACCTGAATCGGTATTCCGAAATGGAATCCCGCAACGGAATTCCGTATGTATGTGGCGGGCCTAATAGAGATCGGTGATATTCAGCCATTCAAAGAGATTTTTCATCCAAAGTCTTTCTGCGGGTTTCGAGTCAATCGCTCAATAAAGTAAAAAAATCATAGAAAACTATTCCACCTTCTAAAGCATAGACTTATTAATGTAAAATAGGTAAGTATTTAGTAAATAACGAGTAGGTGGTTAATTATAACGTAGGTTTTAGCATATTAATAAAACACGGGTACGAATTTATAAAACGATATTTATTAATCAAACTAGCTGGCCTGGTAGACATGTTTCTGCCCTTTCTAGTTGGTGACGCAATGATTTTGATTTTCGCGCACACACACACACACACTTCTCTATAGATTTATAAAATGTATAATCAACTCCTCTTTAGAACTAAATAGAACCATTAGCAGACATAAAAACAATAAACTTAAAAAGGAGGAAAACATACACGGTCATTTACTGTACTGAACCCATATCGCCTCGTAGGTGAGTGACTATTAGTCCCAGACCAACACACCAAATGTCATGAAACTTTGTACAGTAGTTTTTGCGTAAATCGTGAACAAATAATTTTTCTGCAGATTTATTATATTTTTAACCTCTCAAACACCAAGCGGCCAAATTTGACCGCTTCGATATTCCGTCAAAATTCATGCGTTTAAATATGACCGCACACACCCACAGCACTTTAACCCATAAAAAATTATGTATAGAGACTACTTTTCCATGAAGAAGTTTAGCATTATAGAATCAATATGAAATTTTCTATCTCCTAGTGCAATAAAAAAGTTAGTTATCCTAAAGATATTTATTTATAATCTACGTTTATTTCGTACGCCATTTTCGCGTGAATGTTATTGTGTTGACTTTTTGGATTTTTCTAGTGTTTTAGTATAGTCTTTTATCATAAAATTGTAATGAATGTAATTGTGTGAATATAATTTATCTTTCTATGTAAATAATTTCGAGAGAGAATTTTTTAATGATGCCTAAAAGGCCGCGAGCCATGAGTTAGAAAAAGCTGTAACGGCCGGCTAACACCGCTAACATCACAAAATAAAGATGTACGAAGCACTAAAATGGGTGAAACAAACTAAACTCCTGAGGTTGGGTTTATTTATTTTCTATTTTACGCCTTTTCGGTGATCTGAAATTAGAAAAGTATTTTAACACTTAGCACGAAAGTATAGTAGTGACCGTTATTGTGCATAAGTCGAAAATAAAGTATCATGGGGTCATCATAGGGTAGTAAGCAGGTCGCGGGGTGAGCGTGCGTATCTTTCGCACGCGCTGATTGGCTCTCCAGTTGCATTCCATACCCTGTACTATGGAGTGTAGAGGTAAGGAGAACCAACTATAAAAAAGTGTCCGTAGGAAAGTGCTAAATAAGGGTGGCGCCACTATATCTAGAGGGTAAATTTTAAAGAATCTTTTATTTCACAGTCTTTCACCATAACTATTTTTTATAATAATTATTATTGTTATTGTTCTCAAAATTTTTATTTTCAAAATCAATCAACTTTTGTGTTTAAAGAATTTATTTATTTATTTATTATATGGACAACAAAACAGATAACAATCAAAATACATTAAAAATTACACATCACAGTTTTGTGCCAGATTGTTTTTCTAAGTATGTTGACACATCATTTTCATATTTTACTACAGGAGAAATCAAATCTACGCTTAATATTAACAATATTAATGCCGTACATTACGACATAATACAAAAAAAAAAAAAATTTACATACAACAAATTTAAAATCTATGTGATATGGGACATAATACAAAAAAAAAAACAAATTTTACATACATCAAATTTAAAATCTATGTGATATGGGAATGAGTGTGTACGGTCATAAGCTCTTTTACTGCTCTTTGGAATATCCTTGATCTTGGGTCAAAAATATCCAAGCGGGAGTCTTTCATGGATATCTCGTTGTAAAGTCGACACATTCTTATTATCGGGTTGTAAAAAGACGTATTATTCTTGTAAGTCTGCAGGTGAAATGTCTTGTTAGGAATTCGGGGATTGCGCTTTGTAATTAAGTTTAATTTACTTAAGAGGTAACTGGAATCAATCTCATTATGGAGAATTTTATGTAAATATATAAGGTCATATTCCTTACGGCGAATAAGTAAAGAGGTCATTTTAAATTTGTCATTTTAAAGTTAAATTACTGGGATGGAGAATTCCAGATCCCATATTATAGTATTTTTAATATAAAATAATAATATTAGTTGAGTAAAAATGAAATAAACTGTTTTAAAAATCAATACTTATTTATTATTAATTGTTATTATATTTCATCGCTTCATTTTTCAGATATAATTATTCACCAGGTAGTCCCCTTAACCTAAAGGTGACTATGCACGCTTTAAAAGACACTCAACTGACTAAACTAAAGTTGGCTGTGAACCCACTTACCCCTACCACCGCTGACTCGGGGACGGAGTGAGTCGCCATTAGTACTGGATCGTTCCAGGTTTTATGTAAAACGAAACGAAACCGTTTTTTTGAAATGAGAAACAGTTCTGAGAAACAGTTTAAAAAATCGACAGTAGTTCATAAAGCAATAGTAATAGAGTTTAACTTAGATCCCAGATCCCACCTATGAACCTACCTAACGAACATGTAGTTTGTAAACGTTTTGCGATTGAGACAGTTCCGAGAATGAAATGTAGAGATGTATTCATTTCGTTCGTTTTTAAACCTTATCTTCGAGAAACTGTTCGTTCGTTTTTCTTTGACAAACTGTTTTTCAAAAGTGTTTCTGAATAAAACGCCCAGTACTAGGCGCCATTCTGAGCTCATTCCTTTTTCGTGCACGGTGACGACAGCGTCTCCCAATAAGTTTACACTTTATTCTTGCCTTTTTTTTGTAAAGTATTTATAATTATAATTAAAATTTATAATGCCAAAACGAAGAGCGGAAGAAAAAATCGAGCGTTACGAACGCAAAATTAGAAAATTACATGAACACGATGTCGCACGCTGTCGCCGAATACGGGTCATATCATCAGAATCTTCCAATAATGAAGGTAAGCATATTTATTTTTGTATTATAACGATTTACTATGAGTCAAGATTACGTAACATATGTTTCGTTAGCACGTGTTGTTTTGTACACATGTTATCAGCTTTCATCAGAACAGGCCGTGAGCCTTCTTTGTTGAAAAAATTACCTTCATCAGGACAGGCCGTGAGCTTCGTCCGTTTAAACAAAACCCTTCAGCAGGGCAGATCGTGAGCCTCGTTCGTTGAAGTAATCCACTTTTCTAATCCTAAAAATATTATTTTTAGATGTTGAAGACACCAACCACTCTGAGCTAAACCTTATAGCTAACATGAAGGGCCTCGGGATTTCTTCAGGGCAGAGTCCCACAACACCTGAGCTCATACTGGAGCCCGAGCTTACACTGGAACCTGAGGCCACACTGGAGCCAGAGTCTAGACAAGAGACCAGGGCGTAGAAACCATTAGAGCCACTGGCTTTAGTGGCAACTTCGACGGAATAAAACTCGAACGGTGAATCATCTGAACCAGAATTGGACCCTGAACTTTTAGAAGCGCTCGGTGAGTCCACCAGCGATACCCTAGAGTTTGGAGAAAGAATTCACGAGAGTTTAGCCAAATTGTGGCTTCTTCTACTCGTCAAAGGCTTGCCAAAAGATAAAAAGGAAAAAATTCTGAAGGAGTACCTAATCCCGGACAACTGTAGGTTGCTGCAAGCACCTAAACTAAACGCAGAAATATCAGCAGCAGTTATAGACTCTGTAAGAAACAGAGATAAGATCCTGGTAGTTCACCAACAGCAACTCGGGTCGGGGATAACGGCCATTAACAGGGCGCTCAATATTCTCTTAAGTGGGGACGACGAGAAGAATGCTATCCAACATCTTAGCAATGCCTGCCGTATTCTTTCGGATTTGCATACGATAAATACGAATAGCCGCATAAAACTAATTACACCAAACCTGGATAAGAACTTTCTCCACGTAGTTCAAGATTCAGTAAGAGACGAAACTTTGTTCGGTAACAAACTTTCAGAAAAAAATCAAGGCAGCCAGAGCTAATGAACGACAGGGTCTGCAAATCAAAAAGATTAGTCCAAAACCTTCCGGCTCTCAATCCACTAGCAACCGCTCTTCTAGTTCGGGAAACTGGTCTGGCCCACCTCGGTACTCATCGAACCGCTGCAACCGAGGTGGGAAGAAAACGTCGACGCAAAGCCGCCGTCCATACCCGAGCTCGACACAACAGCAGCCAGCATCGAAGCCTTCAGCAGCGAACAAGTCTCGTGCCCCAGCGCCGCAGTAACTCAGGTACATGCAGGTAGAATTAATTTTTTTTAATTGTTGGACGAGAATTTCATCCAATTTAGTAATTTTAGATTGGATACAAAATTGTCCATACATAACTTTTTGCAAGGAAGTCTGCCAAACAAACGTTCCTTGCAAGACCCTTTCGGAGTTAGAGCACCAGGTAATGTCAACTGCGATTCAAAAGCTGATTGACTTAGGTGCCATAACAGAATGTCTTCCAAGTAGAGACCAGTTTGTCTCTAAAATATTCCTTGCCTCCAAGACAAACGGCAGCAAGCGTTTTATATTAAATTTGAAATCGTTAAATAAATATGTTTCAAAGTTTCATTTCAAGATGGAGGATTATCGAACAGCGGCAAAGTTAATACCCCAACACGGATACTTAGCCACAATTGATCTGAAAAAGCCTACTTACTAATTCCGATTCATACTGAACATAGAAAGTATTTAAGATTTCAATTTAAGAGAAACAACCAGACCACGACCTACGAGTTCCCACCAATGCCCTATGGGCTGTCAGTGGCTCCCAGGGTATTTACTAAAATTATGAGAGAAATCGTAACTCACTTGAGAAGCGCGGGCTTTAATTCAGTAATTTATCTAGATGATATTCTCTGCATCGGCAACACTTATGAGGATTGCAGATCTAACGTAAATGAAACTTTGAAACTATTACAATGTCTAGGTTTCGTTATACATTTTGATAAAAGCTCACTCCAATCCAAGCAAAGTTGTAAATTCTTAGGTTTTCTCTTTTGCACTAAGAATCTAACCATTTCTCTCCCAGATAAAAAACGTAACAGTATTGCGCAATTAGTTCAGAAGTTTATTTGTCTACCCACATGCACTATTCGAGAATTTGTTCAATTAATTGGTATTCTAACTGCAGCATGCTGTCCAATACGGTTGGTTATACACCAAGTTATTGGAACGTCAAAAATATCTCGCGCTACTAGAAAATCAGAATTATGAGAGTAAAATCAATTTACCTAGTATTATCCTTGAAGATCTTACTTGATGGTCCAATAACATTAAAACAACATTACATACAATGCGAAACGCCGGCTATAAAATTGAAATCTACACAGATGCTTCACGAACCGGCTGGGGCGCAGTGCGCGATGAAGAACGCGCTCGCGGAGGGTGGTCGGTTAGCGAACGCGATTACCATATAAATTATCTGGAACTATTGGCAATTTTTCTTGGACTCAAAAGCTTGGCATCTAAAGAAACTAATTGCGCGATACTATTATGGGTAGATAAAAGCCAGCCATTAGTTATGTAAATCGCATGGGCGGGGTACAATTCCCCCACTTAAACGGGATCGCTCGGCAAATTTGGCAATGGAGTGAGAAGCGTAAAATTTGGATCTACGCGTCATACGTCAATACGAAAGAAAACTGGGCGGACGCTGAATCTAGGATTATAAACCCTGACACCGAATGGGAACTCTCCTCTTCCAGTTTTCAAACCATTGTGTCACATTTTGGTCAACCAAATAATTTCGCCTCCCGCACTAATGCCAAATGCACAAACTTTGTTTCTTGGAGACCGGATCCAGATGCAATGGCGGTAGATGCTTTTACTATAAACTGGAGCGGATGTTATTTTTTCATAATATTAAATTGTTTAAGGAAAATAATGGATGGCTCATGGAATACTTGTTTTTCCTTATTGGCCTTCACAGCCCTGGTTCCCCTTACTACAAGGGTTATTAGAATCTGATATTCTGTTCTTGCGCCCTAACAAGAATTTATTATTATTTTATATAAAAAATACTATAATGTGTGATCTGGAATTCTCTATCCCAATAATTATTTAAACACAAAAGTTGATTGATTTTGAAAATAAAAATTTTGAGAACAATAACAATAACAATTATGATAAAAAAGAGTTATGGTGAAAGACTGTGAAAAAAAAGATTCTTTAAAATTTACCCTCTAGATATAGTGGCGCCACCCTTATTTAGCACTTTCCTACGGACACTTTTTTTATAGTTGGTTCTCCTTACATCTACACTCCATAGTACAGGGGATGGAATGCAACTGGAGAGCCAATCAGCGCATGCGAAAGATACGCACGCTCACCCCGCGACCTGCTTACTACCCTATGATGACCCCATGATACTTTATTTTCGACTTATGCACAATAACGGTCACTACTATACTTTCGTGCCGCTATCTATAAATAGGGTTAAAATATTTTTCTAATTTCAGATCACCGAAAAGGCGTAAAATAGAAAATAAATAAGCCCAACCTCAGGAGTTTCGTTTGTTTCATCCATTTTAGTGCTTCGTACATCTTTATTCTGTGATGTTAGCAGTGTTAGCCTATGCGGCCGTTACAGCTTTTTCTAACTCATGGCTCGCGGCCTTTTAGGCATCATTAAAAAAGAGAAATGTAATGAAGATGAGGATGATAATGATGATGATTTACGATTTGGTGTTGTTACCAATCATCATGTCGACTCTGTGGTAGTTTTGAGATATCTAACCGCTGTCCGAGTGGGGGAGTGAGGACCCTCGCCTCTGACTGCTCAGCTCGTGTCATTCGATATTCTGGGCGGTGAGAACCGCGCGGGCGGTGAGAACCACGGTGCTTGGTATATGTGACTGTACTGGTACCAGTAGACCGAGCAAGCTGGTTGAAGGTGCAAAACAGAGCAGAGCTTCAATTTGAAGTAAGATTATACATATTTAAAGCGATTAGAAAACTAATTAGCTTTGACAATTATTTATGTAGGTACCAACTACCAACGTAATTAAGTGCGCCTGTTTATGATTTTTTTAAAACTAATTGATGTCATTCAAAATTTATTGATATTAGAATGAATAGTCTTGTACGCAAAACTGCAAATAAGCAAACAAAACGACAATTATGTAATAAAGTAACCCCTTTTCAAAGGGTAGTAAATTAATTCGATTTTTGTGTTTATTTAACCCCTCAGTCCCCTTAAAATTCCCATGCAGTACCATGCGCCACACAATTACTTTCATTACAATTTTATGATAAAAGACTATACTAAAACACTAATAAAACACTGTAAAAATCCAAAAAGTCAACACAATAACATTGACGCGAAAATGAACGTAGATCCATACTAATATTATAAATGCGAATGTGTGTTTGTTTGTTTGTCCTTCTTTCACGTCGCAACAGAGCGTCAGCATGGCACGATTTTTTGTATGAGGATATTTCGGTGGCTGTAGAGTGACATAGGCTACCTTTTTCCGCGGAAAAACATCTCATTCCCGTGGGAAAATAGAATATGTTGCAAAAGTTTGTCCTTCTTTCACGTCGCAACAGAGCGTCGGCATAGCATGAGTTTTTGTATGGGGATAGTTCGGTGGCTGTAGAGTGACATAGGCTACTTTTTTCAGCGAAAAACATATCATTCCCGTGTGAAAATCGAATATGTTTCAAAATTAAATTCAGCTAGGTGACGCCACCGTGATTCTACAAGACGGACGACGGTACGACGGACGAACACAGTAGGTCAGAATATCTGGATTATTATGTCTTTTTATCAAAATTGAGATAAAAAATGTATGGATCTGTATTTTTCCACACAGGACCGGGAAGAGAGCGATAAAAAACATAAAATTCACCAGCTGATTTTCTTCAAACGTTTTGGTGCATTGTAATTCACAGAATAGACGATAACCTCGCAGACGATATTAAGTAATCCGTTGATGCTCTGCCTACCCCGCAAAGGTTACAGGCGTGATTATAAGTATGGATCAGAAATACTGTCACCACCTGTCACGCTTTCACCCTTAACTATTACTTAACTGTGGTAGAAACAGTTCTTAGTAAGCCTTATTAATAATCCTTAGTAATATTTATTGAACGGAAATGAATACAGTTCTTATATGTGGTTATGAATGAATCGGTATTACAATAAGAAAAATTGTGCAAAATTATAAGAAAAATATTTTTTGAGAGTTCTTATTAAATAACGTATACATAGTTTAAATTGATTACTGAATGTCGATACAAACTTTTAAAACGCGGTAACGAAATGTTTCCTGACATGCACTTAACTCCCGCCGTTGAGCCGCGCGTCAACTTATAGTGCACACGGTACCTATATGCTTAAATTGTTTCTATTTCGTAGCTTATTCGACTACCTGCTTTCGATTTCGGTT